CCCCCCTCCTTTCTTCCCTCCCCACTCTTATTCCTCTCTGTGCCTAGTCTACTCGGACTTGCATTGTCTAGGCACTGTGTGTCGATCGACTGACCCATCAGCTAGAGGGAGAATGCTGAGGTTATGAACCAGGGGCCCTGGTTTGCCGTTGCGCTCAAGGCTCCTCCTCCACCAAGCGCACCTCGATCACCACCATATCAACACACCACGCGGTCTCGACGCCTTTCCCCAGGCTGCCAACCTGATCCAACTACCGGACTCATTGAGGCATGATAAACGGACGCGCTTCTTTCTCTGTCTAGATATCTTTTCAATTTCCTTCTTGCCATTTTATTCTTGTCTTATTTTTCTCTTTCTTACGTGCTTATAAATTATTGCCCGTGGAGGACCTCTTTTTTTCTTTTTTCTTTCCCCCAACCCGCCTCCTTCTCCTTTACCCGATTCTCCACGACTTGGAACGATCTTTTGCGACAACTTGCACGCTCTCTACGACCGGATTCGATACCCTACTTGTACTGAGACGATCTCCTCCCACCTCCCACCTCCCCCCTTAAACCTCGAGTCGCACCCGCCCGTTCCATCACACGAACGCTCAAATAGTTACGATCACGATCGCGAAGAGAATCAGGTCGTCATGGCTGATCTAGGGGGCCAGCAAGGCCGGAATTACCGGCCTTACGGACACCCCTCTGCCTTTCAGCGTGATGCTGCATACTCCGAGATCTTTGGCGGTGCTCCGCCACCGGGACGCTCGCAAACGATGACATCTCAAACCCCTCAATTCTCCCAAGATCGAGCTCACACGATGTCATCACACGTGCCACATCCACAGATGCACCGAGGGCCTCCCCCACCCGCACGCCAGATGCAGAATGGATACTCATCGGGGGCGCCGAACGGCTACTACCAAGCATACTCCGGTAGCGCGGCACCGCCCTCCTTTCAGCAATCGTCTCAGCACCCCGCACGGCCTTACCCCGGACGCTCAGCTTATCCTCAGCCTCAGAGGTTGGATTCCCGGCCAAACACGGGGCCACAATACCCAGACACAAAGGGTTACACCAGGACAATGCCGGCTCATCCCGCCCTGAACTCGGATGCGAATCGATCACGGTCAATGGCGAAAATGGGTGGTCCTCCAATGTTTCAACCCTCCCTGAGTAGCTTTAACCATACTTCTGCCAATGCAATCCGCCAACAGCAGTACAATGCAGCGGCTCCGATGACAGCTCAGGGGCGACCCGTTCCTGAGCGGAACCCGAACGAGCGCGCCATGTCGCTGACCACCTACCCGACGGATCGAGATCATGCCTACACCACAAGCACGGGGCGAGTGATTCCACCCAGAAGGCAACCATCCGGGCCAAACCAGCCTCCAGTCAATGGCTACCCGCCTGAGCCCACAAGCGCCCATAACGTCAACGGAAGACCCCGCCCGCCCAGCGATGGATCCAACAATTCACGATCCATGTCAATGGCATCGACCGTTGTGCCGGATCGAACAATGAGCATGCAGAGCACAGTGACAGGAAAGCCGAACACCAATCAGCCCGGCCTCGCACAAAGCAACTCCCGTCGGAGTAAGGTTCCCCTGGTCTATCCGGCTTTGCTTTCGCGGGTCGCGGATGTTTTCCGGGAGCGGATCACTTTGTCTGAACTACAAAAGAACGGGCTGTCATATCAAAACGCTTTCACCGGTGCGCACGCAGTGGATTTGATTGCACACATCATTAAGACGAACGATCGGAATCTGGCTTTGCTCTTGGGTCGTGCTCTGGATGCCCAGAAGTTTTTCCACGATGTGACGTATGATCATCGTCTGCGAGATGCACAGGGGGAGATCTATCAGTTCAAAGAGACGATGGGAGAAGAGGCGCCCAGCTCGGAGGTCAATGGTGTATTCACGCTGTTGAGTGAATGCTATTCGCCAACTTGTACCCGAGATAGCCTGTGCTATTCCATCGCCTGCCCCCGAAGACTTGAACAGCAGGCAAGGCTGAATCTGAAGCCGCAGCCGGGATTACGATCTTCTACCTCTAAAGGCAGTCTGCACGGCGATGACGACGATAATGACAATCAGAAACTCTGGATCAACATGGTGCCCAAGGAGGTATCTGACAGCATTGACGACCGTGAGAAGAAGCGTCAAGAGATTATCTTTGAGATCATGTACACCGAACGTGACTTCGTTAAAGACCTAGAGTATCTGCGAGACTTCTGGATGAGGCCATTGCGGGCTGCTGGCAACGCCACCACCTCACCTATCCCCGAACATCGCCGTGAGAAATTCATTCGAACGGTCTTCGGAAATTGTCTAGAGGTCCTAAAGGTCAATGGGGGTCTCTGCGAAGCTCTAAATGCGCGACAAAAGGAAAGCCACGTTGTCAAGACGGTCGGTGATATCTTTCTTCAACACGTGCCACGGTTCGATCCGTTCATCAAATATGGTGCCAACCAACTGTATGGCAAATACGAGTTCGAGAAAGAGAAAGCCTCAAATCCCGCATTTGCAAGATTTGTAGAGGAGACGGAGCGATTGAAGGAGTCGCGTAAACTCGAACTGAATGGTTACCTGACCAAGCCGACTACCCGTCTCGCAAGATACCCACTTCTGCTAGAGCAAGTGAACAAGAACACGGCTGAGGACAGTCCGGATCGCCAGGATATTCCCAAGGCAATTGCGCTCATCAAGGACTTCCTGTCTCGTGTCAACGCGGAGAGTGGAAGGGCTGAGAATCATTTTAACTTGGTGCAGCTAAACGCAGCGCTGAAGTTTGGTCCTGGCGATTATGTTGACCTGAAGCTGACCGAGGAGAATAGACAGATGTTGTCGAAGATGGCGTTCAAGAAGACGCCAACTGACAGCTCAGAGGTTACGGCATACCTTTTCGATCATGCAGTTCTCCTGGTGAGAATCAAGGTTGTGAACAAGCGTGAGGAATATCGCGTGTATCGGAAACCTATTCCGCTTGAGCTGTTGGTCATCGCTCAGATGGATGAGGTAATACCGAAGGTGGGAATTCCCAAACGGCCGTCGTCCAGCCTCCTCTCCAACAAGGCTGCAGCAAATCCGCCCACCACCAAAGATGGCCTTCCTATCACCTTTAGACATCTTGGCAAGGGAGGGTATGAGCAGACTTTGTACGCCACATCGACCACCCAACGGCGAAAATTCATTGAGTTGGTAGAAGAGCAGCAGCGGAAGCTCAGGGAGCGCAATAGCAACTTCTACAACAAGACAGTCCTCTGTCAAAACTTCTTCACATCCGTCAATCGTGTCAACTGCCTTGTTCCAATTGGTATGTTGTCATCATTTGTCCTCCTTACTCAGTTATTCAGTATGCTGACCGCGCTTGGGTAGATGGTGGCCGAAAGTTGGTTTACGGTACAGACAGCGGCATCTACCTCTCCGAACGCTGGCCGAAAGACAAGTCAGCGAAGCCCCGGCGTGTTTTGGATGTCAGCCAGGTTACCCAGATTGATACATTGGAAGAATACCAATTGCTATTGGTTCTGTCTAACAAAACACTGTCCTCGTATCCCATGGATGCACTCGAGATCCATGAGGGTCAGAATACAGTCGCGAAGCGGCCCAAGAAAATCCAAGGTCATGCGAACTTTTTCAAGGCTGGTATCGGGCTCGGACGTCATCTGGTGTGCTCTGTCAAAACGTCTGCTTTGTCGACGACTATCAAGGTTTACGAGCCTATGGACAATTTGGCGAAGGGTAAGAAGAAGTCGGCTGTCAGTAAGATGTTCCAGAGTGGACAAGACACGTTGAAACTCTTCAAGGTTCGTACCTTTGCATTGGTTCTCACTTCATCGCTGCCTTGCAAGCTAATATGCGCAATCAGGAGTTTTACATTCCTGCCGAGTCTTCGTCGATTCACTTCCTTCGCTCAACACTCTGTGTCGGCTGTGCCCGAGGATTTGAGGTCGTCAGTCTCGAGACCACCGAAACGCAGTCTCTGCTCGATCAGGCAGATACTTCTCTTGACTTCGTCGCGCGCAAGGAGAATGTCAAGCCTATTCACATTGAACGCATGAACGGCGAATTCCTTTTGAACTACAGCGACTTCTCATTCTTCGTCAATCGCAACGGGTGGCGTGCCCGACCCGATTGGAGGATCTCCTGGGAGGGCAACCCCAACGCATTTGCACTTTCTTACCCTTATATTCTCGCCTTCGAACCCAACTTTATTGAAATCCGGCACATTGAAACGAGCGAGCTGGTGCATATTATGACAGGGAAGAATATCCGCATGTTGCATTCGTCGACCAGAGAAGTAAGTTGAGCCGCCGTCGGCCAGAATCATCTAAGCAGTTGCTTACCTTGTCACAGATTCTTTATGCCTATGAAGATGAGTCAGGGGAGGATGTGGTCGCCAGTTTGGATTTCTGGAACAAGCCACAACACTAGGTTAATGACCACTGACATGGGTCGAAGGAGAGAAGATGCGGGGAGAGACAATTTTATGTTCTATTTCCAGCCCAAGTATCCTTTATTTTGACTGCGCTTTAGAAAGGCCTTTGTTTTCTTTTCATCCGATTAGCTCAAAAAGGCGGAGGGCATACATACTATCCATTTGCGTCACTAACCTTCAACACATCAATCATCACCCTTTTGCTCCCAGAATCTCCCCTCACACGCTATCCTTTTGAGAGCCTGTGTGGGAGATTCATTTCCCTTTTCTTTTCTATAATATCTCTCAATGTCAGTCCTCTCAGCTACTCTGTCTTTGTACCCTTGGTCACATTCACATTTGAGTGCCTCATCAGACCTTCAATTCTCTCTCCCGCTGTGTACAATGAAGCGCAAAATACCACCTGTTTTCTTATTCTTGTTGATCGGTTCGTCATTTTCCCTTCTCGCACCAATCTGTTCATCTTATTCTATCTACCCTATTTCATCAACCATTCTACCTTATCCCAACATCCACCTCTGATTTCGGGTGATTGACTATTTCCCGCTCATCCGCGTTCTGGGGCAGCATCGCCATCGCACCTTCTACTTTGTCCATGTAGTAGTCTGAATGTAGACCTCCCTCCCAATAACGAAAACTGCCGCTCAAGTACGTATTCCAAGACCGAAAGCAAAACCAACCCACAGACAGAAACCGGACCCTCGATACCATCGCCTCCGCTTCCGCTTCCGCTTCCCCTTCCCCTTCCCTTCTGCTTGTATTAGCGCCCCCGCTACGCCCGCTATAATCGCCATGTATGTATATTATGTATATATGTATGTATATATATTATCGAGGATGAAAGCTGTCCCACCCATGCACGTATCAAGATATCCCCTCTGCGGCCGACAAGAAAAGCATGGTTTTTATTCCCCTGTCAAGAAATAGTGGACGCATACGGCCGGATTCTTCGGGTTGGGCTTTTGTGTTTAGTTGGTGTACGCGATGACCGTGTGGTGTAAAGCGGTATATACATCCATCCGTCTGTCTGTCTATCTGTCTGTCTGTCCGGACTAGGACACCATGGTCAACTCGAGCTAAGTTATTTGTTTTATGGCGTGGAGAAAACACATTCCCTGAGTGGATGGTTGTATCTTGAATAGAATACAAGGGGGGATTGATTGTACCCGCTCGGGATAGAAGAGACGCGGATTTCTTTCATCTTCTTTTCTTGTTGGCGAGGGGAGTTGACGGACGGCAAGTAGGAACTGGGGAGAGCTGAGGGAACTCGATTGATTCTCAAGTTCTCGCCCCAGAGGGAGGCTGATGCTTGAAGGTATTAGGTAGTGACTGCTTCCTATACCTAACCTACTAGATTCCCCGGATCAAATACTAAGAAGAACACTGTCGAGTCTAACTTACTCTCCAATACACATAGATGAACAAACCACAGTTGGTGCATTCGGATTTGAGGACTAAGAATTAACAGACATGATCGGAACGAACCCACGACGAGTCTTGTTTGTTGCACACAGATAAGAACTTAAATATGATTGATTCAATGATAAAATAGAATTCGGGACAAAAGAGGGAATCTTGCTGCGCGCTGCTGACACTGTGACAGGGTTTCATGGAAGGGGCGAAAGGGAGGAAGGAAAAAAAAGAAAAGATACAGAATCATGAAGGAACGAGAAACAGGCAAGGCAACAAGGACAGCAATGGTAGCAATAGAGGGGGGGAAAAAGAAATAAAAGCTTTATGCAGATGCTCCTCAGTGATAACTGTTAGTGATTAAAAATGATGCTATTTCTTCTGACTCCAGACATCTTGCAGCACGGGGATAGATGGTTGGTCGTGTGGCCTTCGATAAGACGATGATGAAGTTGAAAGTGTGAAAGGATCGCAGCCGAAATTATGTCCGTTCTTGCCCTCTGCTCGTTCTCTGTTCCTTGTCTGTGCGGGCCTGAATTCCCAAGGGGTAGTGAGAAAGAGAGAGAGAAAAAGCAGCGAGAGGATTTGTTGGTCCCAGTCATCGTCGTACTAAAACGGAACGTTGCATTTGCCCTCCCCCTTTCCCTTGCAGATCAAAAGAAAAATCAGAAAAGCAAAAGAAAAGAGAAAAAAGAAAAAGCTATTAACGTGAATAAACGGCCGACTAATCTTTACCCCGTAGACAGTTACCACTGCCGCGCCACGGTTCTCATTACAAAGGCACATACGGTGTCAGGTGTCATTCATGCGGAGACCGTCTTCCCTGGGTCCCAGGGTCTTCTGGGGTCTTCATTTAGGCATCTCCGTTGGTGACATCGACCTGGCTCTGGCTGGCCTCCCGTGCCATGCGGGCCTCGATTTCCCTCAGCTGGCTTTCGCGAGCCAACAGTTCCTGGCGCTTCTCGGCAATTTCACGCTGTACCTTCAGCTCGATCTCACGGAGCTTCTCCTCCTCACGGCGGAGCTGCTCCTCCTTCAATCTAACCGACTGAGAGGCCAGGTCTTCGGGGTTCATGGAAGAGTCTTGTGTACTGTAGCAGAGATATTAGTCGCCGCACGGAATTCGCACGCATGGTGCGACAGTCAGAAATACGTACGGAGTGGCACCGTCCACGCTCTTGCTGAGCTTCTCGGTACGGTAGTTTTCGTAGAGGAAATCGTGGGTGATTTCCTTCAAGTCGGCCAAATGGCTGTGAAGAAGGGCGCTGCGAATGGCCAGGAAGTCCGAGTGACGAGGGTTTTCGACCTCGACAACACCCCAGGGATATTGCCTGGCACGCACCTTCTTACCTTCGATCTCGACAAACTCATCGGAACCGACAATAGCGAACGGCATGAGACCCCGCAGCTCGGCGTTCTCCTCCACGGTATCCTCGTCGTCCTCCTCGATATCGTAAGGGAAGTTGTATACAGGGATGCGGTAATGCTCGATATCCTCCATGATCAGCTTCTTTGATTCGGCCTTTTCGGCGGGGGTGAGAGCGTCGGCCTTTCCGATGACCGGGATAACGTTGACACGGGGGGAGAGGCGCTTCATCAACTCAATGTCGAGCTCACGTAGACCGTGACCGGTGGGTGTGATGAAGTAAAGGAGGACATGGACACGGTTGTCCCTGAAGCGGGGGTTACGCTTGATCCGCGATTCTTCGGCCAGAATATCATCGTATTGACGCTCAAGGTATCCAACAATTTCACCAAAGCTGCGAAACGGTCAGTCGTGCTCCGGGTGGGTGTGGTAAAGTTGCTGCCAGGTCCACCTGCCTTGATTCGTTGTCAATCTGGTCGCCGAATCCGGGGGTATCAACAATGGTTAGGGAGATGCGGGTGCCTTCGTCGTCCAATTCGAGTTCTATGCAGCTGTTTGTTAGCACCAGCTGAAGACACACTCAGCATGGTGGCCTACTCACCGACTGTGACAGGCTTAATGCGGACACCATCCTCGATGTGGGCGTTGGCAGCGTCGTCGGCGTCCTTTCCTTCCAGGACCTTCTTTCCGCAGAGAGTGTTGACAAAAGTGGTGCGTCCTAGGGAGAGCGAAACGTTGGGTCAATTTCTGGACTGAATAGCATGATTGTGTTTGGTCGTGGACATACCGGTTCCGCTGGCACCACAGACCATCAGACAGAACTGGATACCCTTCTTGACATTTTTCTTGCGACGAAGCTTGGGCTTGAAGTTAGACGCCAATTAACCACGGTTGAGACTCAAAGAAGAGTTAAAGAGTGGATGCGATCGAGAAATGCCTGCTTCCCAAGACCATTGGGGTGGTGGTGGGGTGGGCGAGGCAATTCGAGCGGCCGACTTAGAGAAAGGGGAAAGATAACAACTTACTGCGCTGAATGAGGAGGACATGGTGGGCTAAAGAAGGGAGGAGAGGGGGGGAACAAAGAAAGAAGGGAAGATGGAGGCGGAGAGAATTAGAGGAGGAATAAGCAAGCGAGTGGAAGGGTGGAAAAGAGGAGGAAGATGAAGCAAATGAAGGTCGTTTGAAGTGGAGGAAGAAGAAGAAGAAGGGAAGGGAAGGGAAGATAAGAGGGAGAATGAATGGAGATGGAGATGGGATTGGGAATGGGGATGGTTGTTGCCGCTACGGTACTCTGGGCAGGCAATCAGTCCGTCCGTCAGTCAGTCAGTTAGTTCTCCCCTGAGGGAGTACTAGTGCTGTTCTTCCCCGTCAAACTGCCCGTTAGGTGAGTTTAAGGGGGAAAAGTAAGGCCACCACAGCGAGACACCTGAGGCAGAGATCCCAGCCCGCTTGCCCCCTCATAACCATACCCATACAGCATACATAAATTACACTCCCGCAGCGATCCCCCTTTCCCCATTCAGTGGCTCTCAGACCAATCACTACCCAAGGCTGGTTCTCCAGTCTGTCTTAGCCTGGTAATCCCGGTACAACCTGGCTCTTTCCATCTCCCCATTTCATGTCCACCCATGGATCGCTCAGGCACAATCAGATCAATATTTACTCGGACTCATTTACAAGCACCGGTGGTATGGGGTAGTGACTTTAACCAATATTTACCGACCTGTCCGATCCGGAGGCTGAGGGATCTTCAATAATCAATTATTGTCGGGCTAGGGAGTTTCAACTTGCAACCCCCGCTGGTGATCAATGCTTCAGCAGCTGCGAGCCTGCGACAGAATATCTGACTGCAAGAAGCGACAGCCGTGCGACCTGTCTGTTTCGTCGGTCCTCGAGAGTTTGAAGTGACATGCAAATGCCCAATCTGGGCAGTCCTTTGTCTTGCAGGCGTTTATCAAATGATTGCTGGTTGCTGGTTTTAGTTCAGGGGTTATGGTCACCAAAAGGCCGTCGCCGCCGTGGGTCGCGGTGGGCCGCTGGATGCCTTGGGTTTGATTGTTGCCTGAGGCAGGAATCAAGCTTCGGCTGGTGGTCAACTCCTGCGGAGGAAGTCCTGACTGACGGCTTAGGAAGAGAATATCCGTCAGTGCAATCTTACTGCCCGCCTTCCTATGAATCGCAAGACTCCGTGCAATCCTATCATGGTCTAAAGCCATCCAGGGTAGTTCATTAACCACATACAGATATAGCATTCTGAGTGCCTACGTCCAACAAGCTCAAAGTCGCTTCCCTTCATACACCATCTCGGGATACAACTTGCCTTGGTCGAGCATAGCCAGAAACTCCCATGTGCGCACCCCCGTCTCAAGCATCAGCTTCACATTCTCCTCATTGCCCGTCGACGGAAGCTTCTGCCTCAGCTTATAGGCCACGGACCTCTTCCGCCAGACACTACTGAGCTGGGAGCGAGCCTTATCAGCCAGATGCAGAAGTAGCCACACCTCGCGTTGAAGATCCTCGTGCTTTGCCAGATGCGCGTCGATATGATCCCTGACTGGCTTCGGAAACCACAATCTGGGGCCTCGGAATGCCAGCCAGTCGGCACGCATGTAGTCTCTTTCGCTCATGAGGTTATCATCTGTATCTTCCCAGAGTGGCACTTCGGGAATGAGCAGGACTTCTGGTTCAGCAGCCGGCTCCGATCCGCGCCATAGGTAGTCCCACCCCGCTTTCAGGTAGGCTTTCTCTTTAGACGGAATGATGCCTCTCCAAAAATTCCCTCCCGGATTTCACCCGTCACCGGGTCTGTCGGGCTCTTCACGCGGGTGAAGTCTTTCAGTGCCTCTGGCTGGTAATGCAGCACGGGTCCTTGATTAGCCTCCTGATATGACTTGCCGAGAGCATATGCAACCACGGGGTGGGTGTACTCTTCGGTGGAATAGTGATGTGGATTCAAGGTCACCGTCTCGTTCTTGTCGTTCTTCTTGATCGGTTTGTATTGGCCCGGGGTGCGGTTGATCGTACCGGTCATTTTTATCCCGAAAGTCATACTGTCGGGCCGGGATCCCATACCCCAGCCACCATAACCTGTACGGTTGTTGGGGCCTGCCTCGTCATCGTGAGACTTACCATCGCCTTTGGCGTAGCTATAATTGCGCTCCGGGTCCCACTTTCTTAAAGAAGCGCTGCGATAGATCAAGGATGGTGTTGATGTATGTTTGGTAGAGACGCGTCAATTCATAGGGCTCGAATTGAAGCTTCGTGTGCTCTCGTACCCGGTCAACCATCCAGGCCAGTGACAGACTCGCCATCGATTCCAGATCTCCTCTGTGCTGCGCGGTCTGCTCACTACCACCTCCGATGTGAATGTGGCATCCTGGAAACCAGCACTGGATCAGTTTGGTCTTAGTGTTGCGGACTGGGAGATGCCACAGTGTGGGACTAAAGGGTGCTCGATTGTCATCTAGCGCCACAGCATGAAAGGCGTGCTTGATCTGTGGATGTACATCCGTATCATGGAAGCCATGCTCCTCACTGTTACGGCTCGTGACATCGTACCAAGTGTTATTGGGCAAGCCTAAAGCGCCCACGGTATCGAAGACGCCAATGACTTCTATCGGAGCATCCTTGTAAAAACGATCTTCGTACTTCAAGCCCGCGGTAGCACCCTTGGGAACCTCACTCCAGGAGCCTATCTCCATGCGAGAGAGCCTGTTGATGCTGAGGAGGGCCATTTTGGGTTCCTTCTTCAACCTGTTCTTGTAATTCTCGTACATAGCCTACCAGTCGTCCATCATGTCTGGCATGCAGATGCCCATGTTGCAAATCAGGCCTGCCAAGGCTCGGGATGTATAGGCACCCTGGGAGAAGTCGAAAATGTGAATCTCGTCCCCGGGACTCCAGTTTTTCACCTAGCATGAGGTTAGAATAGCTCTTGCCCCAAGCGATACTGGATTTCTTGCTCACTAGAAAGTTATATCCCTCGCAGACATTTTCCTCCAGTCCGCGACCGAATGCGCCCTCCCAGGTCTTCTGGACACCGGCCATCGTAATGGCCACCCAGCTTTGGTCCTCCTTTTTGCTCGTACCAGTACTCACACCGGCATCGTAGTAGACGATTTGATGGACAAAATCTCACCCATTATCGGCGAGTCCATAGCGAGCAATCGCACGACTGATTCGTGCTATGTTGGAGGGAATGTTCATTGCCCATGGTTGAACGACTGCCATGAGCCATCACAGCAAAGAACCAGCCGCTTCGGCGGACAATCAAGGCGGATCTGACTGTCCTTCACAGGAGTATGGGGTTCTTGGATGGGTTCCGATCCGATCTTGTCGACCTCGGTGACGTTGATCGTCTCGAATGTAGGCGCTTTCATGATTCCGAGGGTAAGAAATCTTGATGGGCCAGATTTGAAACAGAAATCACTCGAACGCCGGAGGCCTTGGGGACTGCGCTAAATACCCATCTTGAGGGTCTGCGAAATGATTTTCCGTGGACACGTAGTCGCTCCATCGTAAAGTTTGGCGAGCTGAAAGAAGGATGGATCTGAGCGTCGTATCTGTGCTTGGTGGTGTCTCTGATTTGTCTTTATTTTGTCGACGGCGGCGATCGTCACACGTCGTGTGAGTTCGTGTTCTGCTTTGCTCGGACGCTGGGAAGTTATAGAGATGTATCTGGGTCTTGGAGGCATGCTTAATGCAGTTTTGACCGGTCTAACCCAATCATAATCGAAGCATCGTGTCCCATCATGCAGTTGAAGTTTTAAGCCACATTTGATAGTCGGATGAGGCTACTGCGTCACGGCAAGTGCAGCCGACTCGGCATCACCATTCCCGACAACATGTAGAGCAGGTGTAAGTTCTCCAGACGGCGAGATTGGTTTTGTATCCAGGACATTTCTGGAATGATAACACCGTAGACTAACGTTTGCGTGTGGTATACCCGGTGGTCAAGAGCCTGGTGCTGAGTCGGCGCGAAGTGTGTCCGTCTCGGCCCGTGTGAGTTGAAAGACCGAGTCACTCCTCACCACGGCCCAATCTGGCTGTCGGTCTGCTGGCAGGGGGCCGAGGTCCAAGCAGCAGATTTAGATGTGCCCTCTGCTCCATATACTATCTTACCTCCCCTGGTTTCTGGCTCCGACAATTCCATGCAATTGATAGTCGTGCGACACTTACCACTCGAAGTATTGAAGCTGATACCTAGGAATTCTTATAAGTCACTTGATGATGGACTCGGACCGCATCACGTGAGTAGAAACTATAGGCCACCAGAGGCATACGACTTTCAATGACTGCCCATTAGACTCTATAGGCTCTAAATCAAACTGCCGCCTGTGACCCCATGTTCGGACACATTTAAACCGGGGACAGTGGATACCAATCCAGGAAACGTGGGGGCAGCCCCCGGACTCAACCGCGGATAAATGGGCTTCGGGTCGGACATGCACCGAGCTGTATATTTGTTTAAAAATCCCATTGACCTCATCGCGAGCGAGCCCAAACAATCTCAAACAATTCCAATCCCACTGCGCCAGTACATAAAATCCCAAATCTTGCTCAGAACAAACCACAATGGCTCCCCAAGTTGCCGACCCCCGGAACCTCCGCGACCAGTCCGTAGTGGCCCACGGCTTTTGGCTCACGTATGTTCTACCCCTCATTGCCCCTCATCACGAGCTTGCCCTCTCCGGTGGTGGTGCGTTCCGAAACATCAACTGCAACGCATTTCTGGAATCGCACTCGTTAACCAATATTGCTCGCTTCTTGCTGGCAGATTCCCTAGCGCCGCTGTAGCAAAGACCATTCTTCACCGTCCCACAACAGAAAAGTCCAGATTCAGCTGGGTCCTCATCGACGCAGAGCATGGCTTGATCACAGATAGAGATTACTACGAAGTACGAGATTTCTTCTGTCCGAAATCTCAAACATACTGACAGCCTGTAGCTCAGCAATGCTGTTGCTTCGGAAGGAGCCATCCCCATTATCAGAGTCCCATGGGGTGAAGAATGGATGATCAAACGAGCCCTCGATGCCGGTGCTCACGGTATCCTTACGCCAATGTGCCACACCGAAGTACGCGAGACGCTTACCTTACCTGTTGATTGCTACTCTGTCAGAAACTCGTACTAACTGTCTATTGTCCTAGGCCGACGCCGCCAAGATTGTCAGTTACGTGAAGTACCCACCACTTGGAACTCGAGGTTACGGGCCGATGTTCGCCTCGCACTCGTTCCCGAGCGTACTTTCCGACAACGATTACGAAGAGGTTTCTCAGAATGGCATCATCGTCATGGTTCAGATCGAGTCGAAGTCCGGAGTCGAGAACGTTGAGAAGATTGCCAAGGTTGAGGGCTTAGATGGCCTTCTGATCGGTATGTTTGGGAACAGGGCATTGCAGACATACACATACTTATATTCTCTTCGCAGGTCCTTTTGATCTTGCCAAGCATTTGAACGTCCCCAGAGGCGGCGAAGAGCATGAGGCAGCCATCAAGCGCATTCTGGCTGCGACGAAGGCTGCTGGAAAGAGGGCTGCAATCTTCTGTAAGCTCTACCGTTATGCCCTCGTTCCTGACTCCGACAACTACTGACGAACCGCTCTTTTATTTGATTAGGTACCGGTGGTGCTGATGCTCGGGCTCGCATTGAGCAAGGATTCGACATGGTATCTGTTATTACTGACGTTGGACTATTGGGCGATGCCATGCAACATGAGTTGGACGTGGCTAGTGGTCAAAAAGAGGCTGATGGCTCGAAAGCCGCTGGAAACGGAGGATATTAATGGATCAGACCATTACTTATGATATAAATTCCCTATCTGTAATTGAAATATTTCGCGTTATGCACAACTTGATTGAATAAAACTCATCTTTCATGAATATGAGTTCATTGTAGAATAGATGTATTTAGAGGTACCCTGCCGTGATTTGATGACCACATGCATAGATTCTCATGCAGCATATACAGAGCTGTCTCGATGAAGATCTATTAAGCATTACATCATAAGTGCCTGAAAAGATTCAATGCCTGAGGCAGGAAGCTGACTCGGTCTATTTGTGCTATTAGTTCTTTCACACGAACCTATTTCCCACCATTCATTGACATATGTATAGCTCAGCGTCTTTGTACCGTTCCCTTTCTCTGAGCATTCAATCAACTTTAAGCGCTGTACTGAGTATGTTGGAGCACAATTACATGACTCTCATTGAATACCATGAGCAATGCCTGAGGCCGCCGCGATGAGGTCAGCACCGGAAACCGATCATCAGCTGTGCCCTTTCCCCGGACTCCAGCAATTATTTATACCTCTGTTCCATCCGGTAGGATACAGCGCTGATGGCCTCTTCTCTCGGCTGTCACGATGAACACGCGACAATTCATCGATGAGTCGGTAGGGCCGTTGTCCCTGTCGGCCTCCTTCAACAACGACAATACATGTTTCGCCGTGGGCCTGGACTCGGGCTTCTGTGGTGAGTTGTCTCACATGCTGTGCTGCCTTTCTCCTGCGTTCTTCTCATCCGGAATAATCAAGCTAATTACCGGCATGCGTTCTCCATGAAATAGTCTTCAAGACCGATCCATGTGAGCTCACGGTCTCAAGAGGTACGTCACTCATACTCTCTCCATACCCTCGACATTCGACTCGCATCCGCGAGAAGCGGGTTGCTAACGCACCCCCAGATTTCAACGCCGGCATCGGTCTGGTGACCATGCTGGGCCAGTCGAAATACCTCGCAATCATTGGCGGAGGAAGACAACCCAAGTTCCCTCAGAATAAGGTGCGTACAACCTATCCCGACCCCGACATGCTCCGTTTCTGGTTCGAACTCGTACTGACGGAAAGGGGGTGTTTCCGCGACAGTTGGTGATCTGGGACGATGCGAAGCAGAAAGCAGCCATCACACTCGAATTCCGTACCTCGGTCCTGGGCGTCCGCTTGTCCAAGTCGCATATAGTCGTCGCGCTGCTCAACAGTGTCCATGTCTTCGCCTTCTCGATTCCTCCGCGGAAGCTCTCGGTCTTCGAAACGACGGATAACCCGGCCGGCCTGGTGTGTCTGGGTGAGAAGCTACTCGCTTTCCCCGGGCGGTCGCCTGGGCAGGTTCAGCTGGTTGAACTCGAGACGGGCAATGTCAGCATCATTCCTGCACATGCCAATCCCCTGCGGACAATGACTCTGAGTTTGGATGGCGAGCTTCTGGCCACGGCAAGTTTCCAGGTGAGAGATTCTAGGTGTCGTCGAATTCAGGTTCTCGGTCGTTGACACTGTACGATCTTCATAGGGCACTATGATTCGAGTCTATTCTACCAGTAACTGTACGAAGATTGCGGAGGTACGCCGCGGGGTGGATCCAGCATTGATATATTCGATCGCTATATCACCTTCGAATACTCGGTTCGCCGTGACATCCGATAAATTGACCCTACATGTATTTCAACTCCCTCCCACACGCAACGGTCTCCAGCGATCGCAGCTGGCGAGTGTGCCCAAAGAAGAAGGGCCAACTTCGAAGTGGGGATTCCTGGCGAAGATCCCCGGGCTTCCCGGATTCTTATCTGACATATATTCATCCGCCACTGCACATTTCGAGGTTGGCAACGAAGCGCCATCCGGACCAGCTCAAATCCCACCCCTGGGAAACTCGCTTGGGGCACCGACCAAGGGTATCATCGGCTGGCCCGATGACACAACGATCCTAGTCATTGGTTCAGGTAGAGATGCCCGATGGGAGAAGTTTGTTCTCCACGAGGATGACGACGGCAAGCTGTATTGTACCAGAACGGGCTGGAAGAGGTACCTGGGAGGTGGTTAAAGGGAGCCTGTCCGTTCATTCCTGAGAGGAGCTCCATCAATCCTCTTGATTTGCTACCCCCACCCTTCTGCATGGGCAAATTTCCACCATCCTCGTGGTAGCCAAAGCGCAGAACAGTCTCAGAAAGCAGCCCATCGATGCGTCTGTAGATCAGAAATCGCATAAACATCTGATTTTCCTGGTGAATTTTGGAACAATCGACAGAAATTGGCTATGGACGAGCGAGCGGAGAGGCTTTGGCATTTGCTTGTTGGCGTTTTTCATCGCTTTGGATAGACCTTATCTTGATTACTGAGTAGTATAATTTTTAATCAGACCGCCTTGCTTCAGACATCTAACGATAGCGGTCATCGCGATCTCTGGTGCGCCTCGGCTCCGGTGATCTGGATGCGACTGGCGTCCTGTCTCTGTAGGATCTGTCTCTTCTGGGGGGCGAGCGGTCTCGGTGAGATCGAGACTCCCTAACCGGCGACCGCCGGTCCCGATGCTTTCTCTCTCGCGAGCGCGAACGGTCGTCATCATGCCGGTGACGGTGAGAGCGGTGGTGCCGGCTTGATCTTTCGCGGCTGTCTCGTCTGCGCGAGGACTTTTCAATTGACCGCGCCTTCAGCGCTCGCGCAACCTCCTCCTTCTTCTCTTCAATGAGGAACTCCTTCATCGGGTCCTCCTCATCGTGGGTCAGGATCAACTCCTCCAGTTCGAGCTCCTCCTTGAGCTTCGGGCGTCGACGGGGCTCTTCCTCTCGTGATTCGCTGGTTCGTCTCTTGCGTCTTCTTCTCCGCTCGTCATCGGTATCCCGGTCGTCGGCAGCTGCCTTGCTGGTCGAGTCCCCGATGAGTTTCGCGACGTTGTCCGTTTCCTCCTCATCGTCCCGCCGCTTGTACCGGGTGTGGTCCACGCGCAGAACTCGCCCGAGGACGGTCGCACCGCCGAGATTGTCGACGGCGAGATCTGTACTGCGTTGGTCTTCGTACTTGAGGAATGCGAAGCCCCGGCTCTTGCCCGTGTCCTTGTCGCGGATCAGGTTGATGTGGACCGGTTCGCCGTACTGGGAGAAAATGGTGAGGATGTCTCCTTCGGAGAGGTCGAATGGCAGTCCGCCGATGTAGATGTAGGCTGTATCTCGATAGTCGGCGTGCCAGGAGGCTTCTGGGGGTCTGCATAACAGGGTTTGAACGGGTCAGCGCGACGTAACAAGAAAGATGGACAGCAAGGAAGGGCACACGTACACGGCGTTTTCAAGCTCGCGCTTGTTCAGCGCCTGGACTTGACGGATGTTGTTCATGATTGGGAGACGATGGTGACAGGTGCTGCACCGATTATATCCAGGTATTCATAAGGATGGACGTGTGTTGATGTGGAAGATGACGAAGCCAAAAAGCTGGCGGGCAGCAGCAACAGCGAGCAGCAGAAGTTCCGTCAAAATCACGGGCTGACCGCGGGAAGGGAAGGTCCCCACCCGCGAAAGACGGACGGCCGACCAGCCCCAATCTTGTGCAATTAATTGTTTACAAAGCCTAGAAAGAGAAGCAATCCGCTCCTCCGCTCCGCTACGAGCAAAACACGATCGCCCGTTTGCGACCTTGGGCAGAAACACCGCATTTTAAGCTTTCGGTCCGATCCTGACTATTTTTCTGAGGGAAGGAAGAATAACATCTGGACCTGTTGTGCTCTCTCCCCCCCCCTCCCCGCCCTCCGAGATCTGCGGCCAAACGCCAGATTCCCCTGACCCCCAGTGTCGTTTCCGATAACCATCCGCCCACCGCTTGATTTTACCGCAAATCCAACGCGTCCATATACCTTGACTCGCTCCGATATACCCTGCTTCAATTCGACTTGGAATGAACGGCGCCAGCTGAGCATGGTCGAAATTGGATAGAATAATGTCAGCGTCGAGCCAAAATACAGGGTCCCGATTCGGGACCGGCAACAACAGTCGGCCCTCCAGCAAAGATGGCACCAAGAAAAATATCTGGTCGTCCATGCTGGATAGTGTCGCGAATGGAAAGCGCCTTCCGGAGAAGAATCTCCTGATCTTAGGTTGGAAGCCCTGAGCCCCTGCGACCGCGTTGGGGCCATCGTCGCCCCGAGCACCATTCGGTCATGTCATTGTTGCTGATTATCTGAACCATACTCCAGGCGGCACCCCCGAGAGCCAGAGAGAGTTCCTCGACACTCTATCCGCCGACACTTCAGATCCTAATCTCTCGAATGATAGGCGAAAAGGACGGGTACCGCCGGTGGCCAATCAGTTCGCCTTAGGATATACTTACCAGGATGTGCTGGACGCTGATCACGAAGGTAAATCCGCCGCCGGAGGGTGGGCGGAATTCAGATCTCCGGCCCCCTCCATGCCTATTAGAAATGCTAATTTCATGCTCTTGGTAGATATTCTTGCGCGCGTCTCTGCGTACTTACTCTCCGAGCCTTCTCTTTCCTTTGCGCCCCTCCTCAAGCCGCTTCTGACCGCACAATCGGTGCCGGAAACCTTGGTTGTGATCCTACTGGACTGGTCAGACCCTTGGACGTGGGTTCGCCGACTCCGCGAATGGGTGCGTCTTCTGAGACATGTCCTCATATCACTGGACGATGAGACGAAGATAGTCATGGAAGAAAACATGACCGAGTGGAGGGAACGGAAACGAGGAATGGACGCAAGTTCGGCTGGCGCGCAAGGTCTTACCAGCTCCGGTGGCCCCGTAACGATACCTACCGGCCCTGGTGAGTGGGATGAAGGGCTAGGTATACCCGTGTGTGTTGTATGCCAAGGGGTAAGTGAATCATCAAGCTGTTGGGAGTTAGCATTGATTAATGTTTGTTCTCAATCCACCAGGCCGACAAGATCGAGAAGCTAGAGAAAGACCACGGCTGGCACGAAGAAGAGTTCGACTTCATCCTTCAATTCATGAGAACATTGCTTCTGAAACGTATGGAGAAAACCTTTATCTTCGACTGCGATTCTAACTGTCTACAGATGGCGCGTCACTAATTTACACCACACCTTTCCTTGCCAACTCCCTCCAAAGCTTAATACACTCATCCCTCGGCATCCACTCATTACTCAAACGCCAGTCATTCAAACACAACGTCATCGACCGGGATAAGATTCTCGTTCCTCCCAATTGGGACTCATGGGGCAAGATCCGGATCATTCGCGAAGGATTTGACATGGACGGCGTATCAACAGCCTGGTCGATCGAGATTCAGGATCCCCCAGAGCCAATCACCAACGGCCCCAGCGACAGCAACCCTGAAGGTGAGACGGCCGACGATGGCACCAGCGCGGTTGCGATCTTCGAACAGACGATCAAAGACCCCAAGCGGGACATCTCCATCGCTCATCCCGGGAGTCAGCAAAACGGCACCAAAATCGAAGTCGACACATCCGACATGCAAGCCTTCCTCACGAAACAACTCGAAGTCCTGGAACAGCTCAAGATGGAAGACGAGAAGGATCGTACGACGAAACAGGCACCACAGCTGGAGATGTCCCCGCTTGACGACAGCGGTCGGGTCAATGAACATATCGGTCCCGTACAATTCAACATGGGTGGTATCCAAGTCGACGCGGATGATATGCTCCGCAAACTAAAGGTTAGTAATAAGCAGGGCGTTGCTTAACTTCCCGGCTCCTCCAATGGAGATCCATCTAACGGCGCACAACTACAGGAACGAGAAGCCAGTCGATCACAGAAGAAAGAAACCCCCTCAACATCCTCCGCCACGGGCGACGAGAAAGCGCACAATCAAGCGCTGGCCAACTTCTTCGCGGGTCTGGTCAAGAAGCCTGGCACCACCGGCAGTCCCCGCGGCAGTCCGTCTGCATAATGTGATAGATACATGGGGCTAGCATGAACCACGGTCGCCAGCGACAAGGTTTTGGAAATCTGTAATAATATTGCCTTTTCTCTCGCATCCTCTGCAGTCATACGAGTACAGTACATATTGAAGTAAATTAGGTCCCCCCCCCCGGGTCTGGTGTTTGGTTGTTTGCATGCGCCCGCGTGATACCAGATTGGTTTTAGGGAAGGGTTCTGGATTTGTGGATATGGTTGTTGGGCCGGGGTTTGGGTAGGAAGATCTGCGGCAGGAATCAATTCAATCTATCACTCTCTCTTTGCTTGATCTGGTTGTTGGGGCAGGGGACCCATGGGTCTTTATCGCCATGTCAATGATACAAATCATTAGCGCAGTTTTTCCGGAGTCTACCTAGTTGTGTGTGTTGTGGATACCAATGGAAGATCGTTTTAGCTGGGCTTGAATCGTCTTGCGTGGTGCTCGTTGCGGAGTAGTAGCTTAGCTTGTCGTAAGGGAGTTCTGCTTGACTAGGCGGACAGGAGCAACCTCCCCAACTACTCCTCTTGACCATCCCTCTGAGAATTTCGAGTAACAAACGAGAAGTATCTTCTCCAGAAAGAATCCAAACCATTAAGATAAATCTAGTTTTCAAAATATTATTACACGCGACTGAGCCAAACTTTTCTTGCGTGTAAGAGCACCAGTGCACCTATCCATACATACTTTGTTGACACAGTGTGATAACAAGAACACCAAAAGCCGGGGACAGAGAGAGAAGAGATCCCAGCAAAATATATGAATATATCTGTCGGCAGCAGGAATCCACTACCAATACTCCCACACGAGGTCCGGCAGCACCGTGCGCATGATCTGCCAGTGCTCTAGCGCAGAGCGATCCTGGTACTTGTGCAGCAGGTGTGTCTCGCGGGAGGTCAACAGACGGCGGCCGTTGGGCTCGATGACCTCGAAGCGGGCGGGGTCGACCTCGTGCTTGGGGAGTAGGTGGTCCTCGCGGAACTTGCTACCCAGGTAGTCCTTGGCGAGGGGCTGGCGGAAGCGCAGCGGGGTGGCGGCGCTCTTTTTGCAGAAGATGACCATGTTGGTGAAGTCGCCGGTCAGGTCGTCTGTGTCGGAGGATTCGCGGAAGACGCGGCACGTGGGGAAGACGGCTTGGATGGTGCGGATGGTGAGCGCGGCGGGGTAGAGGGTGATGTCGCCGGCGTAGTTCTGGCGTGGGGATTAGTTTTGAAGATAGTTAGGGCGGTATGGTAGAATGGCCTTGCTTACCAGGGCGATGACTCCGTCGTCTTTCAGGAGGGAGGCTAGTCTTTCGATGAATTCGATGGTGAAGAGCTCCAGGGGCTCGGCGCCTCCGGTGAAGACGTCGTGCACGATGTAGTCGTACTGAGCCTTGGGGGATCGCTCCACGAAGGTGGTGGCGTCCTCGATGACGGCGATGTGGTTGGAGGGGAGGTGGAAGTATTCCAATGCGTACTGGTGCACGACGGGGTCGATTTCCACGATGGTCGTCTCAATGCCGTGCTCGATCAGGGCGGAAGGAGTGGTTCCCACACCGAGACCACTGTATGTAGGTTAGCATGGTGGAGATGTAGCTTGTATGGTCCATTGCTTACATGACGAGCGCCTTGCTGTTGGCGTCCACGCGGGCCTCACCGTGGTCGGTCTCAACCAGGCGAACGGCCTCGAGCATGGTAAAGACTGCATAGATTGGGTCCAAGGTGGCAGGGTTATAACCGCGCGGCATCCTGGTCCACTGGCCTCCCAGCAAGCTGTGGTCGCATCGCATGACCCGGAAGCCATCGTTCAGGTTATCGAGAACCGAGATGTATCCCGTGTTGGAGTCCTGACGGGCAACGAGCGCGAAGCCCTCATCGTTCAAGTACGAGTTCAGGGTATTCGTACTGAGATGCACATTGGAGGTAACGGAGAGGAGCAGAGAGGGGAGTGCAAAGAGAAGGAATTTGGAGGGGACGACGACAGAGTACAGGATAGGCAACAAGAGCTGCAAACCAGCACGACTGAGAAGGATAGTCGATCCGATGAACTTCGCCAGGAAGATCTTGGCGATTTTCTCGCCGACCTTGTAAATCACGTATGAGGAGAGGAGAGGGACGTGCTCCACAACGGCTTCACCGTGGCGGCCCAGATCCAGGCCGGCCTGCACCAGCTTGCCAGCGCAAGCGACGGAGAGAATGACCAATGGGTAATAGGCCGCAATCTCGGTGAAGATGGGACCAACGGGATTTCCTAGGACAGAGCTTGACGAGAATAGGAAAGTTTGGATGGTGGGAATCCAGAAGGCAACGACAGGGACGAAATAGACCGCCTTGCGGCCGGACAGTCGCTGGATGTGGTCCTTCATGAACCATCCCATGGCTCCCACGATTGCAACTCCATAGGCATGGAACACATGGGTACCGTGAGTACCATAGACAGGGGCCAGCGTCAGAACGGTCAAAGGCGAATAGAACGCGGTGAGAATGAGCAGGGCTGCGCCGGTCACCAGCTGTTTGGTGGTGCGCTGCTGAAAGAGACCGCCAGGAAAAGACATGGTGTCAGATCTTGGAAGAAAATGATCTGCCAGAACAATAGGAATTGAGTGAACTTGAAGCTAACCAGAGTCTTTTTGGCCACGGAGCTATCCTGGATTGTAATCGTTAGTTGAAGTCCATCTCAAGCTGTCACTTTTTTCTTCGATTGTTCTATTGAGGAGCAGGGGAGTGGACCTTCCACCCATAGACACGCAATGACAAGACAAACAGTCCGACCTGAGATCAATTCGAAGAGACTAGTCTTACCTTCTTTTTCAGATAGACAGTCGAACAGCCATACTCTGTAGACAGACCTGATATGTGCAAGTTGTTCTTCTCTTCCGCGGAGTTTCGATGACGGCAGGAATTAATCTGCCGCCCGCCGCTCTCTTCCGCTTTCCCTCCTTTCTCTCTTTCTCTCTTTCTCTCCCCACTTTATCCCCGCTCCCTTTTCTGCCCTGTTCGTATCGTGCTTGTCGCCTCAGATATCAGTCCCCAGCATTGGCTCGGCCTGGCTTGGCTTGTATTCGCACATTATGCCTCATTTTCCATTGGGCATCACCCCAACTACGCCTGATATGGGAGCAAATGCCGCCTCCGACACCGTGTCGACCTCCCCGGCCACCAAAATCAAGAACCGTCGCAAGCGTTATCTGGACATGCACCCAGAGTACTTCTCTGCTGATCTCGAGCTAGCTGGTCCGCTTGCGCTGTCCTCATTGCTTTTGACTGACTGCATTCGCGAGATCAGTCTCCGTGAAGGAAACTTGTTAAGCTAATACCCATAGCACCGCAGACCCATTGCTATATGATCGTTTGATCCGTCGTTTCCAGACCCCGGCTGAAAGAGAAGCTGAAGGGCGCGCCAAAGGCTTCTCCGGGGTTCTTGAGGCCGATCTTTGTCGATCCGAGGCTAAGTTTGAGGCTTTGAACCATCCAGACCCTCACGCCATGTTCAGCTATACCCGTGGGCCGAACGGGGAGATTCTCGCCGAGGACAGAGACGAAATTCCACCCAACAAGGAAGAAGGGGAAAAGCTTTGGCAGTGGGAGATGACCATGCGATTCCTCCGAGGCGAGGACACCGATTTCGATTACGCGACGGTCGACGACAATGATGAATATGATGACTGGAACGAGGCACAAGAGCAATACTTTGAAGACGAGGAGCCGGAATGGATTGTCGAGGGCGAAGACAGTGAGGATGTTAGGTCCCGGCTTCAGGGTGAGACCGGCATTCAGGACTTCTGAGCCATGTGCTGCGACGATTCCCATACCCCGCTATACCAAATCGTCATGCCCCGGAGACTCTCGGCTCGTCCCGCGCTTTCCTTCCGATCTCCGTTCGGACTCTTGCCGTGCTTTCAACCTCTTATGACTGACTGTGTAGATGCTGTTTGCATCACGTGCTCGTTATTGGATATGCGCTCTTGCATTAGTACAAGTTCATCGCAAAGCCGACGGGGTGTGACGAACGAACTTTGGTCTTGCAAACATGACTGACCCTTGTGATGTCAAAGACTGCCTGGGGTATGGAAAGCCCATATCTGCTATCATAAAGGCAAGATTCGTTGTCGGACATGTATTGGCCCTCACGGGTCTATACTTGCTACCTGGAGAATCATTACTTGGAGCCGAACTGGAGAGCATAATTAGGATCTACCCTACAGTTGGCTTATGATGAGGTAATGGCATGGCTGTCAGTGTGCTTCTTGAGCTCATGGCATCACACCCCGGACATGTCTTCCGCATCGACTTGAACCGGTGAGTCACTTAACTGACGTCAAATGCTGTTCACGAGGATGCCGAACTCTGGGTATTGACCGGCGTGATTCTGGGTGGTTCCATGCTCGGGTGCTTCCACGCCGATTGACTTTATGGGGAAACAATATAGTCAGTTCAGCCCTAAGATATTAGTTAATTGATGTAGTCTGACGAATATCAAAAGGATACAAAGATGTGAATAAAGGGCAGCTTGTATACTGGGAATCCCTGTAGTTGTTTCACCATGCCGGATGGGTGAATTATGTCCTCGAAGGCCTCCATTACATCAATCCTTGAACAAGTCCGGGAATTCACCTCGTCAATTGAATGGATCTCATTCAAGGATCGATCGTCAGGGAACATTATTCCGGGCTCGCACCTTCCGGGCTGTAGTTCAGCACGGCTTGCACTCAGCAAGATCAGCCATGACTACCAAACTACCTCATTGGGTGGTTGGCTCAGAGAGAAGAAAGGAAAGAGAGGGAAGGAAAACTTAGCAGCTCAGCTGAAGCATTGCAATAATGAGATAATAGCGGCCTATGACTTTTCTGCTGCTGCTGCTACCACTACTCGTGCTATCCCCCGGATTTCTTTTCCTGTTCCTCTTTCCCTCCTCCAGTTTCCATCTCTAAAACCACATCGCTCTTGTGCATTCAGCAATCGTCTTCTTCCTGGCTTTGTCTTCATTAGAAGACTTGCTGATTTCACTATCATTGTCTTCTTCTTCATTCTTTCAGGCATTTGCTTCCCATTTGCCTGTCTATCTATTGTCCTCTCCGCGCCATTGATATTCACCCATTCTATCATTCACGGGTGTCATCAATCGTTCGTCTCACTATCTCATCTCCACACTCTCTTTCCTAACCCTAACATATCTCGCTTTAGGTTTCTCTCTTCTTCCTGCAGAATCATCTGCAGAAGAACCATATATCGTGTATTGGACAATAGTCCGTCCATACACCAGACCGGCCTCTACCATTGTCGCCATCATCATTCAATTTACCAGGCCTATCAAGCCCAGGTAGAGGATGACAACAATGGTCGGCCTTCACTCTGAAAACCCCAAGCCCGCCATCGAGGGACCTGCCCTCACCGACTCGAGCACAGCTGATCAAAGCTCGAGTTCGGACATCATCACCACCACTCCCAACCACAGCAGCAGCAGTAGCAGCCGTGGCAGTGCCTGCCGGGACGACGGCGACGACACAGAGCGCTATCGACTCATGGAGTTCGAGGTGCTCAACCCAGATACGAAGAAGACCTTCCTCTTATATGAAGGTCCTCACCTGGGGCGTGGCGCCTGGGCCTCGGTGCAGGCCGTCTACCATCGTGGCCCGGCGAGTCAAGAGATCGTCGTCTACGCGGTCAAGACATTCTTCGTCAAGCCGCGCATCTCGGCACAGTGCCTGACCCGAGCCATCCACCACGAGGCCAATATAGGCTTGCAGCTCGACCATCCCCACGTGCTGCAGACGTTCGCGCTGGGCCTCCTCGACGGCCAGCTAGCGTGTCTGATGGAATTCTGCGGCCACGGAGATATCTTCGACCTGATCTGGCCCCCTCGTCCCGAGCAAGTTGAGGCAGCGGCAGCGGCAGCAGCATCATCGTCATCATCATCACGACCGCCGCCGCCGCCGCCACGATCCACCCTCACCCCCGAGGCGCGTCTCTGCCTCGTCAAGCAGCTCCTGCTAGGCATGTCGTACATGCATAGCAAAGGCATCGCGCACTGCGACATCAAGCCTGAGAATATGCTGCTGGGAGGTGATGGGCTGCTGAAGATCGCCGATTTCGGGTACGCGGTCGTCTACCGCGAGACGCCAGACGGCGAAGAGCACATGGTCGAGCCGCCGGCCAGCGGCCCCGTGGGCACCGCGGCCTACCTGGCACCCGAGGTGTGGAGCTGCGTGGGGGACGACCCGCCGTCGGCGTACGATGCGGCGGCGGCCGACGTGTGGGCGTGCGGGCTGACTGGCCGCGAGCTGCTGGGCAAGTTCCTGCCGTGGGAGTATGCCGTGGTCGACGAGGTGTATGCGGAAGACGGCAGCCCCGACAACCGCTTCGCCCGGTTCATGGCGGGCTGGATGAAGTTCTGGGACGGCAACGAGGTCCGCCCCATCTCGCCCAACGCCTGGCCGGTCTGCGGCCATGGCTTCAGGGTCAAGGAGTATCCGGCTCCCGAGATGCTGCGCGTGCTGCTCGGCATGCTCAACCCTAACCCTGCCGCTCGTCTCACGATCGACGAGGCCCTGGAAGATCCCTACATCCAGGCCGTCGAGTGCTGCTCGCCCGCCGTGAGCCCGTACAATCAGCGCGGCGCCACGCATGACCATCGGCCGGCCGCTTAAGTGGGCTACAGGTCCCCTTCCTCCTCCTCCTCCTCCTCCTCCTCCT